GAAAAGTGAACTTCCCCGTAACATTACCTAATCATTTGGTTGTTGTGTGCAGGGCATCGAACCCAGGGTCCCACTTGTGCTAAGTAAAGGCTGCACCCTTTACTTAGCTGCTCCACCCTACCCTTTAGAACCCTCCTTTCTCCCCCAGCTCCACCGCAGCGTGAATTTACTACTTTTCCCCGTTAAGGTGCCTTTCTTGAAAGATTTAATATATCTTTTCCCTCTGGTAGTGAACTACATCAAACCTACCTGCATTTTTGAGGCCTGTATTTGTGTTTAGAGTTTAGGGTTTTGTTTTGGTGTTTCTTTGTATTGTTTAGAGGCTGTCCTGGAACTCGTACTGTAGACCCGGCTGGCCTCGAACTCACTGAGATCGCCTGCCTCTGCCTCCCAAGTGCTGGGATTAAAGGTGTGAGCCACCAAAGCACGGTGAGTTTAGGGTTTTATGTAGGCCAGAAGTCTAGTAATATTCCACAGCGATGAGGCAAATGACCGGAAGGGGCGGGTGAAGTCATTTAACCTTTTCCATCAAGAAAGTAAATCTGGGGTTTAATCACGGCTCTGGCTGGGTAGACGGAAGCAGGCAGATCTCTTGAGAGCAAGGCTAGCCTTGTCTACATAATGAGCTCCAAGCCAGGCAAGAAAATGATGAGACCATATCTCAAAGAAAGAAAGGTACTGATAGCCATTAAAAACCAGCTGTCTTAGAGCCAGTGAGATGACTCTGGGCAAAGGCACCTGCCATCATGCCTGATACCCTGAGTTCGAGTCCTAGGACCCAGCGCTGAAAGGGAGAACTGTCAACTGTCCTCTGACCTCCATCTCCAACCCCCAAATATAATACTAATAAAAAAAGAAAGAAAGCAACTGGCTACTATATTGAGGCAAGCTTGGGCTACCAAGGGAGACGATCCTGTCTCAAACACTACAAGAATCTGCAAGTCTCTGGAATGCACATATTTCTTCATGGGAGGGCTGAAGTCAGCACCTCTCTTCCGGTTGTATTTTCTGTTTCTTCTGGGCTGTAAGTCTGGAAGCCAATGTCTCTTGTTTCTATATTTTCCATATCGTCTTTCATAGAGAGATTGAAATATGTTTTTTTGCTTTGGTTATTCTATCATCTAGTCAGCTACAGGAAGTTGCATTTCTCTCTTAACCCCTAGCATTTTGCTCCAGGCAGTTCCTGACCAAGGTTTCCAAGGCCTTGGGTAACACTGAAGGCTTATTGAGTCCAAGGTGTTAAGTTTCCATAGATGAAGAAGCAAGATCTTTGGGATTAAATTCAACAAAGAAGCAACAAGGAAATTGTAAAATGATTCATTAACGAATGTTAGGGATTTCAAGCAGTCTGATTTCACCAATAATATGCTGATGTGTGTTGGCTGCATGAACGGAATATTCTGCAGTCTCACGACTCAGCAGCTGAAGCAACAACTCTCCCTTTGCGAAACCTTGTAAGAAGTGGGACACTCTGAGCTCTGTTTTCCATGTGATTCCAAGACTATGGCCCTGAGAGGGCTCCAGACAGCCTCTTTGTTTTACACTAAAATGGTTGGAGAGATAAAGATAGAGTAAGATAACTCTTATTCCAATAGACCAGGTGTCTCAGGCCGGAATCTAAAGCAACATGGTATCAAGCAGCTGCCTTTGCAAGATTCCAGGATGTCTCAGAATTCACAAGCAGCCACATGCCCTGTTGCCAAGGCTCTCCAGGCTGTTACAGGCCCTGCTCACATTTGTCTGAAGCCAGCACAGGGCTGTTTGCCTTGTCACAGGCATTTATACGTCTTTTCTCACTTGCAGGCGCTGGTTGGGCGATTGTATGGCAGTGGCAGATCAAAGGCACCGGGAGAGGAAATGAGTAACCACGTCTAAAGAACATCATATTTACAGCACTACAGAGTGAGTGTCCGAAGCAGCTGGACACCAGACAAAGAAGGCCAGTCTGTGGCCTGTGACCCACCGGGCTGGAACCTCTGGGCAACTGAGAAAGTGACACAACTCTTCATAGTTGGTGGGACACCTCTGTAGCTCGCACAAGAGCCACTGCATAACTTGGGGACGGTGGCACACACTACCTGTAAGCCCAGCAACCAGCAGGCAGAAGTAGGAGGGTCAGGAGTTCAAAGTTACCCTTGGCTATAGAGCAATTTGTTGGGCCCTGCACAATACTTGTGTTCAAATTTGGTCTGTGAAGTATCCTTAGCTTTTTATATACATCTGAGTTCTGATTCCTTTTGAAAAAATAAAGGGTGCTTGCAGCAAAGGGCAAGTGAGCTGGCTCAGTGGGTAAGGGTGCTTGCTGCAAACACTGACGACCTGAGTTTGAGTCCCAAGTTTCACATGGTGGAAGGAAAAGGCCCAATTTCCACATCAACCTCGGGTTCCTACATGCATACATACCTAGGTGCATGTACACCACCACACGTGTGTGTCTGCACACATGTAAACGTGCATACACACATGTGTCACTCAGAAATGTTTTTAAAAATGAAAAAATAAAATCCAACTCTTTGCATGTTTTCTAGAAATCAAATTCCCTTTGATTATCATCACCTTCCCAAGTCTTCCATTAGGAAAGCAAACAAACAAACACATTTTGTCTCTGAGTTACAGCCAACATTCTGCCTTTAGGGTGGTTTTGAGGGCACTCATTAGGGTAACAGTCTCACTGGTGTCTTTGTGTGTAGGGGTGGGTGGTGGTGAAGTCAGTCAAGGGTGGCCTGGGTGTAGCCCACGGTGCTGTAAAACTCGGCTCCCTTGCCTATTTTAGCATCCTGAGTTTGGGCATTACAGGCAAAAGCCAGCAGATCTAACTTCATGAGCCTCTAAAGCTGACTTAAGCTCTAGGAAGTAGGGTTTCGGCAAGGAATGTATTTGGGGAGACAGACTGGAAAACACAGTCTGTTTTTTAAAGGGTCAAGTCAGGCATTCACCAAGGACCCTGAGTAAAGGGAATTAGGAGAAGGAATTGATGCTAGAAGGCCTGAGGATTGGAAGCTGTGGAGAAAAGGTGCCCCCCACACACACCCAGGAGCTGAGTCCCAGGCCAGGAGATAATGAAGGAGAGAGGGGCAGGTGGGGGGAGGGACAAGGCCAGAGAGCTCTCCGCATCCTCCCGGGGCTTCTGCCTCACAGGATGCATTTTCTTGGAAATGTGTGTAATGCCCCAAACTTGCAGACCAGGGCGTGCGCCGTGCCAGCACCAGGGGCTCCTGGCACCTCACAGTAGCAGCTACCCCAGATCGCCATGACAGTTTTCTTCCCACCTCTGTCGGATCTCACCTCTATGTTTCAGATTTGACTCCAGTCGCCCTTCGTGACCCACTGAGAGGAGGCTTCCATCATGGCCTCACGTGAACCCAAGATAATGAGAAAATTCTCCCTTGACCTGTTGTAGTCAGATAATTTTGCTGAGGAAGCTTGATTACCCTTCGAGCACCAAACTGCTCACATGTGTAAGTCAGCCACAAAGTCCAAGGCTGCCCCCACCCCCATCATCTCTAATTTTTTAATTTTATATTTCTTATGTTGGGGACTGAACCTACTACCAGGGAACTACTCATGAGCAGCCAGTGGGATATAGATGCTTATGAAAATGGAAGTGCTGGGGTGAGGGCTGCAATTCAGGCATCCGGCCTCCCCACCCCCACCCCAACCTTCCAGCATGAACTCTGGCCTGCTCCCTGGATTTGGAAGGTGTCCTCAGCATGGAATTTAGTCCCTTAATTTGCGTTCCTAGCTCAAGACCACAAAGTGTCCAGGATTAAGGGCTGTAGCCTCTGGGTTAAGGCTGCTACTTACTCCTGAGTCTTCTTCTCCAGAACAAGTTTGTAGCTGGAAGGAAAAAGTTTGCCAAGCAGAAAGCCAGTTACATTGTATCGCAAGTTGAGATCCAGTTACCAAATGTCCCCAAACCCAGGCTTTATCTGACATTCTCTTAAGCAAGGGGGTAACAACTCCCAGATTTCTCATGAGCCCCATTGCAATCCCCTCTATAGCGAAGGTTCCCGGTAAGTCTTGGCGTTTTATTGTCTGTTTTGTTCTCTGGTGATGAGGGAAGTGCAGGAGGGAGGCAGGATTTCAATTACAGCTTTTGTCTGAGTGCTGGGGAGATTTCTAGAGGCAAGCAGGGTGAACGGAAGAGCAGGCAGGGGGATTTACAACTGGTGGAAGGGGTATCCTAAGAGGCTGATCTCAATCTTAAAGGCAGCACGCTAGATAAAAATAGCAATGGCAAGCTGCTGAAGATTCCCAGGTCACTGGAGCTCAGCAGGACAGCGGCGCCAGTGAATGGCTGACTCAGAATTTGCACCACACGGGTCAAACAAGGTGCCAGTCAGATAAATGGCTTCCCTTTGAGGGCTTTCGAGGGCCTACTACGCCTGGTGCTCCTCTTGGAAGGATCTCTCAGGCTTACACAGTTGGCTGGACCAAGGGTCAGCACCAAGGGTGGTCTGTGTGGGGCCCTGAGAACCCTGCCCAGTAGGAGCCTTTTAACAATGCAACTGTGGGGGACTGGCCTGCCTAGGGAGATTTGGGATCCTTAGCTACTAAAAGGACACTTTCCTGGTAGAAGAAGGTAAACATAAAAAGACATAGGAGTCTGTAAGTAGGAGCCACAGGACTGGAAAATCCTGAGGAAACAGATTCCTCCAGACTGTCGGAGGACGCCTAGGCACAGCTGGCTGTTCTAGTAGGAAGAGAAGGTGGCAGCCCCTGAGAGCTGCAGCCCATGCCAGAGCTGCGGTGACATTTTAGTTCTCCGGAGGCCCAGTATCCACTGCTCCCAGTGCTTTCCCAGACCACCCCTGGAAGGCCCCGTAGCAGAGGAATCTGCTTTGTGCTCTGTTGAAAAGAAACCCCAGATCTGACTCACTGAGACGAAGAAGAGAAACACCAAGGCCTCCTCCACTGGAGGAGGAATGTCACTGTAATAACCCGGTTTTTTAAACTGAGCACGTTAGCACCTGTAATACCAGCGCTGGGGAGGTAGAGGCAGGTGGGGGCTAGGGAGATGGCTCAGCAGTCAAGAACACTCGCTGCTCTTGCAGAGGACGAGGGGTCAGTTCCCAGCACCTCACAGGGTGATTCACAACCCTGTGCAGTGTCCACCAGAGGAGACCCCTCAGATGTGGGTACAAGCAAATACAAAGTCTTTATTAGCCAGCCGGCAACGACACTGGGTGTTCAAGACCTGGATGCCGTTCTGAGTCTTTCTCAGGGTGGACTTTTAAGCACAAAATCATTTTGAGGTTTGACACACCTCAGCAAGAACAGTTAATCAGAAGCAGAACTATAGAAGCCAAAAGCAGGGTTAGAACATGCAATGACTTTCCCAGAACTACTGACTTTGATAGATTAGGTCTTTGTTCTCATCTGGCAGGTGTTGCTGCCTATGTGCTGGGTTTCAAGGCCTGAATGGTACTTCCATTATGGTGTCAGTTGGGCTAAAGTCTCGGGGGCTACTAAGGTCTGGCATCCTGTTACGAAACCATTCATATCCTCCAGTTCCAGGGGCCCCAACACCCTCTCCTGACCTCTGTGGGCACCAGACACACGTACACAAAATGAAAGCACTGATACTTAGAAAAATTAAAATTTTAAACAAAGGAAAAAGAAAAATTAATTTTTTTTGTAATTAAAAAAATTTGTCAATTAGAAAAATTAAAATTTTAAACAAAGGAAAAAGAAAAATTAATTTTTTTGTAATTAAAAAAATTTGTCAACTGGCAGTGGTGGCGCACACCTTTAATCCCAGCACTTGGGAGGCAGAAGCAGGTGGATCTCTGTGAGTTTGAGACCAGCCCGGTCTATAGAGTGAATTCCAGGATAGGATCCAAAGCTACAGAGAAATCCTGTCTCGAAAAAATTAAAAAAAAAAAAAGCGTGCATTGGTGTTTAGCCTGCAGGTATGTTTGTGTGAGGGTGCTATATCCATTGGAACTGGAGTTACAGACAGTTGTTAGCTGCCATGTGGGTGCTGGGAATTGAACCCAGGTCCTCTGGAAAAGCAACCATCGCTCTTAACTGCTGAGCCATCTCTCCAGTCCAAATTTTTAAATTTTTAAAAATCATACTATTGGAAAAAGGACTCAAGGTCATCCTTAACTATATAGTATAAGTTTGAAATCAGCTTGGGCTACATAAGATCCTGTCTCAAAAGCCAAGAAAAGCCAGTCATGGTGGTGCATGCCTTGGTGCTGCTTGGGAGGCAGATGCAGGTGGATCTCTGTGAGTTCCAAGCCAGCCAGGGGCTACATATTAAAACTCTATCTAAAAAAAAAAAAAAAATCAGGTCTAGAGAGAGGTTCACCAAGAAGTTCAGGGGTTGGGGTTGGTTGGGAAGTCAAGGAAGACCAGGCTGGCCTTGAACTCACAGAGATCCACCTGCCTCTGCCTGCCAAGGGCTGGGACTAAAGGCGTGTGCCACCAATGCCCAGCCAGTGTGCATATTCATTTTTGCATACATTTAAAGCAAATTGAAATTTGTTGTCTTCACTTTAAAGTTTATAGGCATGGGAATCCAGGGGAGGACACTGATCTTGTGTCCTGGAACTGGACTTAGAGAAAGTTGTGAGCTGTTGTCCTGTGAGTACTGAAGATTGAACCCTGGGCCTCTGCTAGAGCAGCCAGTGCTCTTGACCACTGAGCCAGCTGTTTCTCCAGCTCCTGTTTTTATTATTTCAGATAACGACTCACTATGTGGCTCTGCTTGGCCTGAAGCTTGCTACATGGCCTTGAACTCACAGAGATCTATTTGCTTCTGCCTCCCAGGTCTGGGATTGAAGGTGTGCATCACCATTGCCTGGATATTTTCACTCTTTTGAGATTTTTATGATTTTTTTCTTTCAGTAGTTAGGAGCACTGGCTGCTCTTCCAGAGGAGGATCTGGGTTCAGTTCACAACACCCATATAACAGCACACAATGGTCTATAACTCCAGTTCTAGGGGATTGGATACCCTCACACAGGCGTACATGCAGGGAAAACACCAATGCCCATAAGATAAAAATAAATTACAAAGAAATCCCTTGGGAAATCTTGGAGGGGAGGGGTAGGCTGAGAATTACATTCCCAGGCTCTCAGCTCTTGCTCTGTTTAGTATAACCACACTTGCACTCAGGAGTCCACCAAAGACAGAGAGGCTTCTGTTCCCTTCTAATTCAAAGTCTGCCCTGTTTGGACACTCTCCCGGGGATATTCATAGACTCCTGGCAGGAGGTGGCCATGCTGCCACTGCCAAGGTCCCTCTGTGTCAAATCTCCTAATGGGGCCTGGGCTCGCTCACTCTAGACAGCAGCTCTTCCCCTGCTGTCAGGCGCACAGATTCCACTTGTAGGCAGGCCCTTACACATCGCTTCAAGGCTTCCTGTGTGTCTGTGGAGGGGACCTCACGAATGCTAGTACGCATATCCTGAGACCAACACCCAGCCTGACAGTGCTCCTGGTTCTGAGTTGAATCCATTTGCATCCACTGGTATACTGTGCCCTACCTGTGGCAAAGCAGTTTCATTTATTTACTTATTTTA